TGAAAGATCTATACACTGAAAATTACAATACTCTGAAAAAGAAGATCAAAGAGGATATCAGAAAATGGGAAGATACCTCTGTTCTTTGATAGGAAGAACGAATATAGTGAAATGGCCATAACTCCAAAACTGTTATACAGACTTAATGCAATCCCAATCAAAATAACAACAGCATACTTCACAGAATTAGAGAAAATCCGAAAATTCATACGGAACCAGAAAAGACCTGGAATACTCTGGGCAAAAACAACGAGGCAAGGGGCGTCATGATCCCCAATTTGAAGTTTTACTACAAAGCTTACATGATAAAAACAGCATGGTACTGACAAAGAAACAGACTTGAGAATCAATGGAACTGAACAGAAGATGCAGAAACAACTCCAAGCATACTCAGCTACCTTATCTTTCAAAAAAGGGCCAAACATTTTCACTGGAAGAAAGACAGGCTCTTTAATAAGTAGTGCTGGGAAAAATGGCTTTCCTCATGCTAAAGACAACCTAGACCCATATCTCTCACCATGCAATAAACTAAAATCAAAATGGATCAAAGATCTAGATACAAAAATAGAAATACTTAATCTGATGGAAGATAGAATAGGTAAAAGTCTTGAAAAAATAGACACAGGTGATGGCTTTATGAACAAAACCCTGATCACACTTTTCAGGTGAAGAAGTACAAAGAGTAAATAAATCCATGAAAAACTGTTCAACATCAATGCAAATTAAAACAACACTGAGATTCCATCTCACTTCAGAAAGAATGGTTATCATCAAGAAATCAACCAATAAAAAATGCTGGCACAGCTGTGGAGGAAAAGGAACCCTCTTCCATTGTTGGTGGGAGTGTAAATTGGTACAACCACTATGGAAAGCAGAATGGAGATTCCTTAAAAAACTAAAATTAGAGGTTCCACTTGACCTAGCTGTCCCCTTCTAGATATCTTCCTTAAAGTTAAATGCATCATACCAGAGTGATATATGCATACCCATGTTTATAGTATCACAATTCATAATTGCTAACTCTTGAAATCATAATATGCCCATCAAGAGATAGATGCATAAAAAATGTGATATATTTATATACAATGGAGTACTACTCTGCCATAAAAAATACACTTGCAAAAAAAAGAGAATAGAAGGGAAAGAAACATGGAAACAAAGCTTTTGTAAATGGGGAAGGGAAGAAGGGTTGAAGAGAGAGGAGAGTAATGGGAAAAAAGGAAGAATTAAGGCATATTATGTACAGGTACAGATTCCCTATGATGAATGTGATGATTGTGTACAGTAAATATGTACTAATAAAAAAATTTTTTTAAATATGGTATGTCGGGCTGGGGATTTAGCTCAGTAGTTTCGCCACCTACTGCGCAGGTACAAGGACCCGAGTTCGATCCCCAGTACCAAAAAACAAAAAAATATGGTATGTCTCTTCAATAAGGAGATTAATACTAGAAGAAAAGCTGCCCTTTTAAAATAGAATAATGAAGCATCATTTAATCTGAAATAAAATTTTGGATACATATTTCTATAATTTTTATAATTTCTTGATTTAATAGTCTTGCTTGTTAACTATCAGTCCTGGTAATGTCAAAGAAGAAGGCTGCTACTGTATACACAAAATTTTTCACACAGTAAGCAATGAGAGAAACATTGACTCTCTAAAGTTCATCATCGATCTCAGGTTAAGAAATGATGTTCTCTAAATAATGTTCTCTCTATATATAATATTATTCAAATATGCCAAATATGACATATAACTGTTACAGTCACAGGGAAAAGCAAAGGTTTCAATTCTTGGAATTAAAGTAACATTATTTACTTGATAAGAAATTTTAGGATTATCACTATATTTTGTATTACAAAAATCTTTATAGGATGTTCACCAATTCTTTTTCCTTTTAGTAAAATAAAGTTAAACTTAGTAAGTTACTTTTAAAAATAAAAACAAATACTATATCATTCTTTTATCTACTAATTGTTCATATTAATACAGAAAAAAATGGGTTTTAAACTGCATATTTGTACACACATATAACATATTGGATCAATCTCATATATCCATTAAAAATTTTATCAGTATGTTTGCGATACATAATAATTACATTAATCTTGGGGAGTTGCCACACATATACATTGTATCTTGGTCATTTTTACTCCCACTTTACTCCCTGCTCTCCAATTCTCCACTTCCTCTGATGCCCATCACAGCTCCAGAATCTATCTCCTTGCTTACTACCATTTCTCTATTATTTTCCTCTTTAAATTTTTTTCTTTTGGGGTTTCTCATTATTAGAAGAATCATGTTAAATTTAATCTCCTGTGCCTGACTTATTTCACACAGAATTAGGGTTTCAAGGTCCATCCATTTTCCTACAAATGGCTCAAATTTTTCTTTCTACTTGACTTATCTGTTGATGGGCATATAAGCGTCAATCATAATATAGCTATGGTAAATTGTGCTGCCATAAATACGTGAAAAAGTATATGTATCACTGTAATGTTGTGATGATTTTAAGTCTTTTGGGAAGATATCCAGAAGAGATACAGCTGGGTCAAATGCAATTCTATTCTAGAATTTTTGAGTAATCTTCATACCAATTTCCATAGTGATTGCACACATTTACTTTTCACTAACAATATAGAATGGTTCCTTTTTCCCCACAATCCTACCTGCATTTGTTTTTTGACTTCTTGATAATAGCCATTCTTGCTGGAGTAAGACAGAATCTGTCTTCTGAGTTTCATTTCTCTAATGGGTAAAGATGCTGAACATTTCTTAATATACTCATTGGTTGTTTGTACTTCTTTTGATTAAGTATTCATTTCCATTTCATATTCTTGGTTGAATCTTTTCTTTTGGAAGATCTATTTTTTTTAGTTATGTATTCTAAACATTACTCTTCTAAGGAGTAGCTGACACATTTTTTTTCCAATTCTGTCTCATCACTGTTGCTTCCTTTGCTGTACAGAAGCTCTTTAATTTGATATGATCCAATTTATTGATTCTTGGTGTTATGTTTTGTGAAATTGATGTTCTGTTCAGGATGTCCTTGCCTATGCCTATGCTTCAAGAGTTTCACCATTTTTTTATTCCTACAAATTCAGTTTATCTGTTTTTATATCTAGGTCATTAATCCAATTTGATTTCATTTTAGTACAGGGTGATAGACATGGATCTACATTCATACTACTGCACATGGCTAATGAGCTTTTCCAGCAACGTTTTTTCCAGAGGCTATTTTTTCTCCAGTGTATGTTCTGGGCCCTTTAGTCAAAAAGAAAATAGCAAAGGTGCTTGGGGTTGTTTCTGCATCCTCTATTCTCTTGCATGGGTCAATGTGTCTTTTTTTTTTTTTTGGTGTCAGTACTATGCTGCTTTTATTACTGCAGCTTTATAGTATAACTTGAAGTCCAGGATTATAATCCCTTTTGCTTTGTTCCACTTCTCCTAAAACTTGCCTTCTCATAGTTGGGTTCTTTTCCTTCTACTCACCAATTTCTGAGTATGTGTACTCCTTGGTGTGTGTCCACCAAGGATCCTACAAGCACTGCTGTCTCTTGCCAGCCATGATCTGTTTTCCACTAGCTCCACTACCCTCTACATCCCCTTTCTCCCTCTTCTCTAATAGTCTGTATTATACTTTCATGTTGTCTCTTTTTTTCTAGATTTCAAACATGAGAAAACATGATATTTATCATTCTGAGTCTGGCTTATTTCACTTACTATGATGATCTTCAGGATGGAACTGGTGGTTTCACTGTTATCTGCATATTCTATTTCTTTGTATTCATGTATAGAGTCTAAAACAGTGATGGTGAATCTTTTAGAGCTTACAATGATATAAACAGCCTGCAGCAGCACAAGGGCCACAGGTTCACCACCACTGGTCTAGAAGAACATTCAGTCAAATACTGACATTGGTATTTTATGGATGGAAGCATTGTGAGTGGTAATTTTTCTTCTGAAATTTTCTGTAATGCTTATTATTATTTGTTAAGTGATCAGCATTTTATTAACAAAACACAATATAATTCCCCTATAAAAAATAAAATAGAATCAGTGGCAGGAGCATCCACTGAGAAGAGTGAAAGAGAGAGTCAGGACACCTGAAGCTGAGTATGATGCTGGAAGTCAGTCATTGTGAAACTTCTCTGGGCCACTGTTTCCTCATTGGCAAATGGGAAAATATAGACATGGAATTAAATGAACTCAAAGATTTCCTTCAGTATCAACATTTTATGAATTTAATTTCCATGTAAATTCTGAAGGAATTTTTAAAAAACTTTACCATTTTATCATGTTCTTCCTTTGTTAGAAGTTTTATACCTTGATCACATTACAAACTACATAGTAAATGATATCCAGCACAGTCTCAAAATATTGAATATGCACTTTTCATCAATAATTAAAAAGAGGCAGTAATGAAAACACAACTACAGAAAGTCCTTCACAACAATACACAGTACTTCAAATGTTGAGTGGTAAATAACCATTTATGGAAGTGTTTCAGTGCTTCATTGTTCCAGGTGGTTTCAAAATTCAGTGTGTGTGTGTGTGTGTGTGTGTGTGTGTATGTGTGTGTGTGTGTACATGTACATGTGTTTAACCTTTAGAAGACTCTGCAATCTATCAATTGGTAGTATCTTGCATTATGTAAGTCTTTTGAACTGACTGCCAGCAGGTATATTTTTCTATTAATTAAAACTCGAGCTTTATGTTGTTCAACAATGGAGCCGTGTATCTCCCTATACCTTCTAATTTGTTGTTTGAACTTGATCTTCAAGCTTGTATTTATATTGTTAAATTATGTTCTAACAAATTCATCCTATTTATTTGTGATAATCATGTCAGTAAAAGAGCTGAGATGCTGATGTGATTTTGCAAACACAAGTATGGATACCAACTATTATGTTGTAGGTATTATGTGACATTTAAATATTGTCACACTAAATGTTTAAACAAATACTGAAATGTTGCTATCATGTACAAAAAAACTTACCTTTGCAATTATTACTGACTGAACTGGGTAGCAAACAGCTGCTCCTAAAGTAGCCAGTCCTAATGGATAAGCAATTTTCTTAAACCTAGAACCTATAAAATTCAAAAACACTATTCAACTACAAGTAGATGCCAGCAGAGACTTGATACTTCTATACTGTAATGCTGTTTGTTCTTCCTTTAAGCCACCATTCTCTGTTAAAGTATGTCTTAGGTAAAAATACCAATCAAGATGGTACCTAAAATGCCCTTAATTATCTCACTTCAATCAATACGCCTTAGCTGTCATATCTAATTTAAGAAAATGTACTCAAACTATTGCTGGAAAATTGCCTACACAAAAGGAATTGATTTTCTTTTTTAAGCTAGGTATTTCTTTGTGCACTAAGAAAGTGAAAATTGTAATTGCATTTTTCTCAAGTACAGAACAAAATATAATATAGAGAAGCAACAACCATGTTTGTTAAAGTGAAATGGACTCTATATGTCTCTAAGTTCTCAGGAAAGTGAATGATCTAACTAATCAGCTAAAGACTTTAAAAGGTGTACAACATTCATATCACTAATTTAGAATAAGGAAATGACAATTTTAAATGACTTAACATAATGCATTTCAAAAACTGCTATAAAAAGTACCTAAGTATCTAAGTCATTTTCAAACCTTTTCTAAAAATTCATAATATGCCTTAACTTTATAACTTGCCAACAACTTTTAATTTGTGTTTCAAATTTTTAGTTGGTAATTGCATTCTTTAAATATTTCTCTTATGTTCAAGATGGGAAGAATTTAGCCCTTGATTAAAATAATAAAAAAAATCAGGCCAGGCATGCAGCACATTCCTGTAATCCCAGCACTCACTTTGGGCTTCACCACCAGCACGTATCTGGCTGAGAAGGCTGCAAACCCACAGTCTGCGGCTAGAGTTTAGCCAAGTACTTCCTCCAGCATCCAAGCTCCGGATTTTTGTTCTCATTTTCATATATTTTTGGGGTGCAAAATCTTTTCCAAAATCATTCCAAATAGAATCTTATCTGGAACTTCAATATATAAAATGTAAAAATATGAAGCTGCTCTGATTAACCTGGGGGCAGGAAACTCACTACCAAGTCTTGTCTATGTGGTTTCTCCCTTATTCCGCTATGACCCCTATAGCTTAGTTTCACCAAACTTTTCTTTCAAAATAATGTGTATCTTAAATGCTTACCTGAATATACTGGACTCTACAAATATGACTGGGCAATTAGATGATGCTTGCTTTTACTTGGGGTAAGTACTTTGATTCTCTCAAACAGTTATTAAAACCCCTAATTTTAAAAGAAAACAGCCTATCTGATCTATCAACAAAGACTAAAGTAAAAAATACCTGGCTATGTTTGTAGGCAACTTTGGAGATTAGGGAAGGTTAAAAACAAGGTATTTCTCTGATTTAGCCATTACTAAGGGTTACTTTTACAGTCACGTCGAATACAGCTTGAGGAAGATGGGTAAACTGGCTCATTCAACCTCAAATTTAGCTTTCCTTTAGATTTAAGCTGTTTAATGTGGTGTGGGGAAATGGATTCTAGGTTAATTAAAATACCCCTAACTCCTAACCCCTAGAACAAATTATCTGTTCTCTATTACTACAGTTTTTAATGTCATCTAAATGGAATTATATATACACAAAGGTTCTTTCACTCAGACTCATCAAGATTGTGACATGTTTCAATAGCTTATTATTACTTTTTGTTTCTAAATAGTATTCTTTTGAATGGACGTGCCATAATTTAATTTACTCACTGAAGAATATCCAACTGGTATCTATCTTTTTATGATTACAAATGGAGCTATTATAAATGTTTTGTGCAGATTTTTCATTTCTCCATAGTAATACCCAGCAATGAAATCAGTATGTTACATAGTAAATGTGTATTTAACTGTATGAAAAACTGTCAAACCAGTTTTTCAGAATGGCTATATCATTTTGCACTTTCACTAGCACTATGTGAGATTTCCAGTTCTTCTCAACTATAGACTACAGATGATATGGTCAGTCATGTAAATTGTAGACATTTTAATAGGTGTGTCATGCTATCTCACTGCAATTTTCATCTACATTTCCCTAATGAATAATGATGTCAAAAACTTTTTACAAAATCTTTATAATAGTAGACACTATATACTAAAGAATTTTTAAATTTTACAGGAACCTATCCTGACACTATTCAATAAATGCTACAAGGTTTTCTCATAAGTTACAATTTATAAATTAATATAATGGCACTGAAAGAGAGAATATATTTTCAAAACCTACCTTTTCTTGCTGAAACCAGGCCTGCCAATCCTGAAACTGTAATCACTCCCAATTTTTGAAGAAAATCTCGAGGAGGGTTCTTCAGATAGACATATGCATCTCAAAAAATCAGTTAAAAATTAATATAAATGACTATGATTGAGAATTCTGTGTAAGTACAATGCAGAAAGGTTAAAAAGATAAATTTGTTAATAGTGGACAATATGATAATATTAGATGGCTTAAACACTCAAAAAGCTATACAAAATAACAATACGATCAGCAACCTAAAATGAGTTATAATTACTTATTAAAAAGGAAAATCTCCCTTCCATAGTTGATTTAATGATATTCATTTTAATAATATAAGTGAATTACTCTTTAATGAAATATATTATGATATATTTAATATGAATTGTTATAAAGTATCTGATTGTGTATGTATCATATCCCAAAAATGAACATGCTTCTGCCCTTATCTGTTCAAACATTAGTAGTACTCAGTAAGAAATGAAATAGATATTTTATTATGGAGATCTGCCACTAGTCCTTGCTTGTCACTATTACCCAATAATATCTGAGCAGCCATTGCTCTTGGTTAAAACCAATAATCAGGATGAGAGGTAAGCCTAGACAAAAATCCTTTGTAGTTCTAAGAGACCTCAGTTTAAATCTGGGCATGGCCCCTTAGTAGCTCTGTACCATTGGCAAACCTACTCAACCTTACCAAACCTCAGTTTCCTCATCTATAGAACACAATTACTGTAATTATAATACCAACACTCACATATTTATGACTAAAACTAACTTAGACACATTTTATAAGATGCTTTACACAATGCCCTAGCATACAATAATGAATAAATACATGGTAAATAATGCTGTTTTATTATTATCAATGAACTACAGAATATTTTCTAAGCCAATAAAAGCATGACAATGGATAATATACCATGTTTTTCCCACATTTAAGCATTTTAACTTAAAAATATAATAAAACATTTCTAATTATGGATGGTTCCTCACTTACCCTTTCCAAACTGTACTGTATCCATTACCCCATTTTTCACAAAGACATAAATACTCTAAGCAAAAAACAAAGGTAAAAAAGGACAACTGCATTATTGAAGCTATTGTTAATTAGATAAAATAGCCTACATCTCTGAAATTATAATAAAAATTTGACTTACCAATATACTCAAATCTAAATCCAGCTTTCATATGTACTCACTATGATAATACTTGCTCAATTTAACCTCTCTTCATTGCTTTCATTTCGTTGTGTTTAATATGAATAATACCTGCTTGCTATTATCTTCATACCTAATAAATTGATCAACTCACAGAAAAAATATAGAAAAAATATAAAGATTTATAATCCTATTTTATATTAACTGAGAAAAATGAATGGAATTTAAATTGCATGAAAAGGAGGTATATGTCAGCACAGAACCAAAATCTGATTAGCAGAAATGCAATAGCAACAATATAATGATATATGGAGAAAAAACAAAAACAGGACAAAAAAACACGTCACCTTTCCTCTTTTTTTAGTGTGCATTAGAACGGGAAAAAAATCCAAATAAGGCATTTATTTCAGGATAGAAATCATTTCACACAGACTAATTTTACCTTGTTTTTAAAGAGAATCATAAATTTCCTAAATTTCCATAAAAGATATTTATCCTTTGAAGGGATTAAAACTTTGAAGCAAATCTTTCTTTTAAACTTGTTTCTAGCTCATCTATTTTAATAAAAGACTGTTATAGATATTAACAGGTATTATCTAACTTACCAAAAGAAAAATAAGATCATGAAATGATTTATTCATAATCATGCTTATTGTATTAAACCAGAAAACCTAAACCAAATATATGGTTTCCCTCTCTGAACTAGATGTTACTAAACCATAGAATAAAAAATCAAAAAGAGATTTTCAAAGCAGAAAAATATAAATGATTATATCAGACAGGAAAGAAATAAGTTATTTTTCTCTATATAGCTTGGTCTAGTCATTTTGTCTCAGTTTAATGGAGAAGAGAAATGCAGAGGTTTATTGCTCATCCTGGTTTCAAATTACACAAACCAGCATAGACTCTGCCTGCCACTAAGCTACTTCTCTTGAAAAACTGTCTTGAGATAACTTCACCTTCAATATTATAATATTCATTGACTGGTTGACTGGAAATCATTTAACCACTAATCTTTGAGAATAATCCTTACCCGTTTAGGAATTCATTTTTACCACTAGGGGGCACTGCAACCTAAGGAGTAGGAGCACAAATTGAAATTGTCCTGCATGGTTCTAGATTTTGTGAAAAATGTAATTTATGTTAGACATAATTTTTAAAGAACAGATTACATTTTTAGAGAAAAATTTGTTTACACTGACAACGAAATGTATTTGAAAGTGTCTTCTTCAAACTTGTTTCAGCATATTAATAGAATAATATGTCCTTTGTGTTTTAAAACGGGTGAGTTACATCAGTAATATAAAGATCTCTAAGAAACAATTTACCTCATTGAAAACACACTGAGCTCTAAGAACATTATGGAAAACTGGGTCTCGGGAGACTTACATCTGAATCGTCTAGCTTAAGTCATATAACTTTTATAGCACTGTTTAGAATATAATTTTAAGTTATTTCCTTCAGAGAAGAAGGTATTAAGTATGTGGAGTACAGCTAGTACCATTAGAATTACACGACAATCAAAAATTCTAAAAAAAGGGCCGGGGATTTAGCTCAGTGGTTTCGCCGCCTGCTGCGCAAGCGCAAGGACCTGAGTCTGATCCCCGGTACCAAAAAAAAAAAAAAAAAATTCTAAAAAATAACACCACGAATCCATCAGCTATTAAAAATATCGTCTGGGAGGACTAAACTTGACTGATTTGGTATTTCACTTAAAAATGCTATTTTTTGTAAGCTCATTAGAATTTTCTCTTTAAAAATAGTATATTAGAAACTAAAACAGCTCAAGATTTCACAGTAATACAGGCTATATTTGGGAAAACTTGTACAATTCTTAGGGTGATAAAAATAGCCAAGTGTGGTGACACACACCTGCAATCAGAGCCCTCAGAGGACTGCGACAGGAGGATCCCTATGAGTTTTAGGCCAGCCTGGACTACAAGGTGAGTTCAAGGCCAACCTGAACTACATAGCAAGATCCTGTCTCGAAAAACAAACAAACAAAAAATACTATCTATTGAGATGATCATATGGTTTTTGTCCTTGGCTCTATTGATATAGTGTATTACATTGATTGATTTTCATATATTGAACCATCCCTGCATCCCTGGGATGAATCCCACTTGATCAGGGTGTATGATCTTCTTCTGTATTCT